CTGAAACACCTCTAAGTTAATTTAATTTGTGAGAGCCATTTTCATCTTTTTGAAATAAACGACTGTTGGAACCAATCCAGTGGTAACTCTCTTTTATCTTTCCGGCCATATTCACACCAGTTTCAGTCATGATTTAGATGGGTGGGTGGGTGGCTCTGGTTTAAATTCATTAATTTCCTCAGTCTATTAGTCTGACTTAATTCAAATTTTTTCAGTAATAGAAGAAAAGAGAAAAAATAAAATAAGCCGTAGGCCCTGTATAGCTCGTTTAAAGTATTATATTACTTTGCACTTAGTTATACTTTGACCGCCTATTTCATGGCTTAAGTTAGAAACAAAGGGAGTCTTTTTTAGAGTCACGATGGTTTGCGCATTCAATGAACCCGTTTTGCCTCGTCCACAGTTGTTCAACCTTGGTCGCTGTGAGACAATTTTAGTTCAATAAGGCGCTTTTAATTGCTTGAAGCCATGCATTTCTTTTAAACTAAGGTCGCCTACAATATCTCATGGTGTAGAGCGCTAGCAAGTCGACTTTTGATCGCAGACGCTCAATTGTCGTTAGCGGTATTTTTGAAGCAAGAAGGTACATAAAGACTTCATTTAAAACAACCTTTCTCAGTTAACTACGCTGATTTCCACAAGGGAGCGTGGTTACAGATGCGTAATTTAAAATCTAATAAAAAAATTAGTATATTAAGAAATGTGGAACAGGTTTTTACGCCTTCACATATAAACGGACGGACGGGAACAACTCTATAAACTTCCTCTAGGAAAAGGCTTGCCTGAAGGCGCTCGCTGGCTGTGGGAAGGCTGGGATCTATTACGGCTGTTGACTATCCTTGAGACAATGACTGACAACAACAAGGTTGGCTCCAACGTAGATTTATTCTGCAAGCTCTACTGAACTTTTTGACCAAACTGAGTTTGCCCAGAACTGGCTTGACCTGGCTGAGTTTCTCCTGGCTAGAACTGGCTCGACCAAAGAAATTTTTACAAAATAGCTCTATTTAGGCCTAATACAAAGGATAAGGTAATGCCATGAATTATCTAAGGATCACGTGATCTAGTACAACGATTGGCTAGGCAGGAATTTCGCCTTTACAAGATTAATCACTTTCGAAAGGTTCTGGTGGATAACAACTACACAAAAGGACTTGAGAGGTGACAGTTTAATACTACAGTTTATCACTAATTAACAAATGGTAAACACCACAGCGTACACTATTGAGTTATGGATGCACGCGGGAGGTTGCTAAGCACGAAAGAAGCGTAAGAGTCGCTCGAGGCGATAGCCGAGGGCGACTCTAGCTTCTTGAGTGCTTAGCAAACCTCCCAAGTGCATCCATAACTCAATAGTGTACGCTGTGGTGTTTACCATTTGTTTTATAACATAACATTGATACATTGTAGCTAAAGAGTTCCCTTTTATTTAACAAATCTTACGTGACCAGAAAAAA